ATAATGGTCATACGCGCATTATTATTCGGATTGATGTGAATAATAATACACGTATAATCATTATTATTCAGATTGATCTTAATAATAACAATTATACGTGCATTATTATTCAGATCAATCTTTCAGAGACCTCGTGCACGCAAGTGTATATACGGTAACATTAGATAATGCGTACTTCTGACTTTGGAATTTCAGCTGCGTGGGCACGAGAAGAAATAAATATTACATACAGCACTGCTTGTTATATCGATCGCAGGACGATCTATGCATCTTTCAGCCCCTAGCGGTTCCTTTGTAGTTATTTGGGTTAATTTTTGTTGCTTCTATAACTAACTACAGATTTACATTCTTATTCATTGGTTGGTCATTTCATCGAGAACTGCTTCTCATTGAGCGTGTAATATTCTTTGATGCAGAACCATATAATTTTTTAGACTTCTGGAACCCAGAAATAACTACAAGATAGGGCAACGAGTAAATGCATTACTAATAAAGCGAGTAATGCATTATTTTTTACTGTAATAATGTACGCAAATCATAAGTAATGCATTAACTAATTCGAATGTTAATTCTCATAATTAGAGGAAGTCGTTCTGGCAACGCGTGGCTATTTTTAACCAAAAATTTGGTCATGAATAGCTTAATTTTAGGCTAAACTTGACATAGCTGGTGCATCTGAAAGACTTAATTTTTTTCATTCGACGACCGGCAAAAGTTGAATGCAGGCAGCTAAGCTTGAGACGCGAGAGAGGATCTTCAATTTTTGTTCCCGGCACTTGTACAGTTTCCAGCCTCCTAGGAGTCGAGAACATTGCTTGTTCGCCGTTGATTGGTAATGACCAATGTATTAACAGAAATGCTCAAATACATAGTCATTGGTGTTTCGCAGATTTAGTTCTAGACTTCTTTTCCAAACTATCTACGTGAATAAATTTTTGAGGTGATTTGTCGGGGGTAAATTTAACTTTACCGACTTATATACAAAAACCAGTTTTAAGAAATCCTTGCGAAAGGGAATCTTTCTGATGCAACTTGTATTGCAGGAAATTTATTGATGGAATGAAATTTTAAATGTACTTCAAATCAGCATAATTGGTTTATTGTTTGTTTGCTTTGTCAGTATGAAACTTTAAGACTTTTTTAAGTCCTAAACATAGGACTTAACAAAGGACTTTGTTAAGGCCTAAACGATACGAATTTACATGATGTTACACAATTATACGAATGATTACAGGCGTTCGTTCTTGCCTTCCAATAATTGCGTCATAACAGACGGAAGAATCGACAATTATTATCTCTGTCATAGCCATTATGCCACACATTGAAGCAATATTCTTCAATGGCAGTAGTAATATTGCTTAACATATTGATTTGCAATACCACAGCACCTTAAAGGTAAAAAATTATCCCGATATGAATCATTGCTATGTATTTTTTATTATAGCACTCAGAATTTCAAGATCACCTAGAATACATGAACGTAGATATAGAGACATAAGTACATATTAAATATTACACATATAAATATTGAGACAAACAGGGGTTGGACAATGTAAGGGAAACACCTTATGAATACACCGAGTATATTTTATCAAGGTGTGGGTCCACCTTTTGCGGCAATTACTGCCTCAATTCTTCAAGGCATTAATTTTTACAAATTGCGAATAATTTCCAAAGGAATTTCAGCCTATTTTTAATTAAAGCCTCTTTAACCCTCTTCCAGTTAGACCCTAGTTTAACCCTCTTTCAGCCTTTTTTTCACCCTCTCCCAACGTTCCCCTCGCCAGAGGTCGGAAATATGATAAAAGATGATTCTTCATAGAAAATCACATTTACCACTACTCGAGGAACCAATTCTGGAGGTTTTTACGCCACTCTAATCGCCTTGAAGCATTTGTATTTGAAACCAGAATTTTTCTAATTGTAGCCCTTCCATAAAATTCAGATTTTTAAAGCTTCCGACGAACAGTTTTTATGAAAACTGTGTTCTGTTGGTGTCCATTGAGGTCTGCTGTAATTTTTACAGCCACGATCTTCCGAATTTTTCAAAAATTTGATTTGGGTACTGACGGTCTCTGTCAGACAACTTCGACCTTCAGGCAAGCCTGTGCTTTGCTGACGACATTTTTCATTCTCTTTCAAAAGCAGTCATTACTTTTGAGACAGTACCTCTAGAAACGTCAAGCATTCGGGAAGTTTCTGTCACGCTAGCATCTGCCTATATACGAGCACCAATAATTTGGCCTATATGAAAGCCAGAGAGGTTTGACATTCATTGGCTATAGGTTAGCTTATAGCCACATAAATTTTCTAAATATAGCTGTTTATAACATGTTAAAAAATTATGATTTCAATATGCTCGGTGTTTCCCTTATTTTGTCCGCACTCTGTATATAAAGACAATTCAAAGACACATGAATGAGAGGTAATAAGTCTATTCAAGATGCAAGCAAACGCGTGAGGTTCACTCGACTGAGTGGATTTGCTTGGACATTTCCACCGCCTGTGGCCGCCAGGGGTGTAAGGGTTGCTACCCACGCTTTCATTTACTTGTCATTGGATTCAGAAGCTGATAAACAATTACATTTTTCATTAATGCTAGATTTTTGTAATGGGTAATAGCGGTGATACATTTACTATTTCGTTTTCTAAGGAGAGACTCACTTTACCTGAACTGATGTGCATACAAATACTCCTCGAAATAATGTTTAGGACACTAAGTGTATAAATACTGCCTGTACAATGAACAGGTAAGTACATTATAGTACCTAGGAGGAAGATACGGGTGTACTTTTATTGAGCAATATCATAGTAATATGTATTATTGTTTATGAAGAACATATAAATGGTAGTGCATATAATCAAGATAAATTTTATTGCAGGATACGCATTCTATCAAACGAAACAGCAAAAATGTCACCACACAACACGCACATGTCATCACACAACACGCACATGTCATCACACAACACGTACATGTCACCACACAACACGCACATGTCATCACACAACACGCACATGTCATCACACAACACG